AAAGAATGTAACAGCTTTATGTTTTTGGTCGGCGTGTGACAATTAATACAACCAGTTTGTTCTTATTAAGGATTCAAGGCTAACAGTCATGTGGTATAAGAATCAACTATGAAGGGTGATACGGGGCAGTCATCTCACAACTATTAGAACTCACATACAAAAAAGGTATAAATAATTAAAAAGAACTTTATAAAAATCGTTCAGTTAAGTTATAAGAACTTTATAAAATTACCTAAGGTTTTTTAATCAAGATCTTGTCGGATTAAACAAAGTTTAATATATTTCAGTCAGAGTTTATTGAAACTATAAGTTAAATCAGAAAGATGAGTTAAATTTAAAGACGTTCTGTGAAATATAACAAGTGATAAGGATGTCACTGATAATACTATACATTACGGAACAAATAGTTATGTAGGACCTTAGAGACAACAAAAATGTATATATTATATAAATAATAAAATTTATCACATACAAGTTTTTGCCCGCAATTTCGTCCGCGTTAATGTCGGAATTAGTAATACATATATGTATGACCGGGCGAACTCTATTCCCCTCTAGAAGCCATAAATAACCAGATATTGGAATTAATTAATTAATTTTTTTCTTTTATGATCGAACGGAATTAAATATCCTATGTCCGTTGCTAGTTCTAAGCTATCTCTCCATCAATTTTCAACCATGTACCTACAGCCGTTCTTAAGTTATAAAATTAGTGTAACTAACACGACTTTCTTTTATTAAACGCTTACTATTGGTTATTTTGGAAGAGAATTATTACTTTATATACGGTGATACAGAGCGTGTCCAGTTTTCTATTAATGTCTTCTCATATTAAAGTACACGTAACATATGTACCTATGGTACACACTTGTCGTAGTCATACAACACAAGTATACAAGTACGTATCTTTCCCATTATCCATTCTTAAGATGAGTTCTTATGGTTGAAGTGGAACATTATCAAACTATGTGTTTTTAATCCAAAATAAATTGCAACCACTTTCCTTCATTAGAACAAGTACATTAAATAATGTTTTTTTTTTAAATTATAATATACATTTTTAAACTTAAATTTCCGCATAAAATCCAAACAAAGTAGAAATTTCTAACGGTTAAATTATTTATTATCAAAAGATTTCTTTTTGTTTTATATTTTATATAAATTCATATTACTATGAACTTATAGTTGTTAATATAATATTTAAAATATTCATTAAAACAGTTTCCAAAATTAATTACAAATTTATGAAATTTAATATCACACAGAGGCCTGACTACGGGTTGGTATGTAAAGTAGTTGGGTTGTTTAAATTAACGTAAAAGCTCGTTTTAGAGAATTGATTAACAAGGTTGCGTCATTCATTAATACCGGTCCTTAATAAAAATTAACTTCGGAGACAGAGAAGTTGATTTATAAAAACTGACACGTATGAAGAACTTGATTACATGATATCCATTCCCATGGTGGAGAATAATGTTGTGGAGTACATTTATGTGACAAACAAACAATCAGGCTATACACAGAAAGTATGTAAAGAACACAAAATATAAATATTCAAGTATAATTGATACCGACTGGGAATAGAGCGAAGAACGCTTTGGACCGTGGCTGAGAGACTGAGACGGAAAATGGATAGAGAGAGATGGAGAGATATAACCGGGGATAGTACGGAGGAGCTCCCGGTACGAGGAGAGTACAGGTGGATCACGCACAGACATTAACATATATTAATCTAACTAAATATGAGAGGACGGAGCCGCGGCATTGACTTGTATCGATTTAATTACGTTACGTGTCAAGGAGGCTATAAAACACCGGATATCCTAATATATTGACACTTCCTAGTGAGATTAAAAAACTGTCAAAGCTCTCGACACACAATCAACTAATGTGAGCTTTATTGTCTAAGTGCAAGTGACCTCTGACACTGACGTGTACAGGCGAGCGGATACAATGGTAGTAGTCATTGGTCATAAGTAATAATTGATAGATTATAACATACATTAGAAAATATAATAAATTCTCTTTAATTTATGTCCATCTATTTCTCCCAACTTTCAATACCATCAAACCCTATTCGTACTAAACGCGACATTTATTTCACAATATATTATTTTCTTTATCAAAAGTAATCAGTGAATCAAATTTGTATTGCATCATAGATTACTTTTATTTGTAATGTTTTTGTTTTGTTGTCCTTATCCAGATTATTTTCAATATTTAAATGAAACTAATGTTTTTGGAATAAAATAGCTACAACTGAACGTAGCCAAAACGTGGGGAGTGTGTAGTTTTAAAAAAGAATAAAAACGTGTAATATTCTCGTAACGCATAAAATATCAACTTAATTTAATTACTCGCGAAAGTCTTAGATCTTTTTTTTCAATATCGTGTCAGGTTATTTTCCTTCGACACAGTACAAATATTTGGGCACTTTTTATTGCGTTCTTTGGTCGTGTAGTATGACGTCACTACTCGGCGGGTCCGCAATGTTCAAATTATATAACACTTAATATTAAACTAGTCAACAAGTATCTTTATAATTCCTCTTTGTAAATAAACTGTCATATATAATGAGCATGTTTTGATTCATTAAGAGCTCGCTTGTACTAACACATCGATAATATATCCCGGACATTGAATATTTTGATGATTGAAGTAATCCTCTAGTAACGATGTCTCCGCACGTGCCGTAATAACATGAACAAACAACATAATGAATTCAAATGGATTGAGACATCACAAGAACACTTTATGTCTTATATTCATGTTTGCTGGAATGTTTACAGTGATTAGCTCGTGCGCCTTAATCATTAAACGATGGGTTCCTCACGAAACCTCTCCGTCGGTCAGATTATCACATAAAGACTAATCGTATTCGTTCAAATATTTTTTGTAAACAAGATTATCTGTTATTAGACGTGACGAACGACCGTGATCTTCGGTGAGAGGCTTCAGATAACAGGCTCATTACTCATTATATACTCAAACAAAGTTGTTTACTGACTTGTTTATGATCTCTGTGTGAGGTGATCTACTTTAGATGATACCAAGATTATATGTGAACTTCAATCCCTACTAATATTATAAATGCGAAAGTAACTCTGTTTGTCTGTCTGTCTGTCACGCTCTCAGGCGATTTTATTTATTTCAGGCGATAAACCAGTGAACTGATTTTAATGAAAATTGGTACAGAGATGGAGTTGACCTTGAGAAAGAACATAGGATACTTTTTATCCCAGACTTTTGAAAGGTTCTCTTGGAAACGCGATATAACCGAGCTCCACGCGGGAGAAGCTCCGGGCGGAAAGTTAGTAAGGTCTAAATACCTTAATGCAAACATTACACCATTTTTCACAACTGTAATTTCTAGTCGGTAATGACGTCACATTAAAACTCCAAATATCCCATATAATTCAAGTGCACACAAGCTTCATCTCAGTCAACAGTAACACACATGTGAGTACAGAGCGTCATGTTGTATGCACGTGGACGGTGGACATTCGATGGCTTTCACTATCGTGACTTGACCCCAAACAGATATCAACTGACTCCGACCGCGACATATTGAACTCCTTCCAGCTATCAAAATAAACACTACTTTTGTAAAACATGCAACTAGTTTTCACTACATTAATATTGAAAAAACAGACTTTAGGGTGAAATCGAGACATGAAAAACCTTATAAACAACAACAAACTAATGTATAAACAGTTATATGTTATTAAGACATCTTTAATAGTCATCAATCAAGCGTCACTCATCTCCTGACAGATTGTAAAAATCGTAATAAATATTTACATTATTTTTTCCATCGCTTATGATCATAACATCACATAACTATTAGAAATAATGTTTTCATCTACTAACAGGCCGATCCAACGCCAACAGTACATCAAGAAACGCAGGTAAATAATTAGTTTGTTAGTATTGAAAGAAAATATGAAGTAAATGTATTATAACATAGACCGGGGTTATAACGAGGCAGTACATCGCACCGCTTTGTATTTAACCCCAAAATGAAAGTCAGGTGCTTGTAGTCGCGTGCGTAACTTTTCGCTCTATATAATTTAAGAGCGTGCTATCGGGAAGTTATTAAAGCAACTGAACTAGATCATATTGAACAAAATATACCTAAATCGTGGACATTATTGCGAGTATTATAACCGTTCAGTTACTAATAGTACTCTCACGGTTCGATATAGAATAGGAATCATTAAGACAATGCATAACGAATAGCTCTGCTCCAACAAAACGCCTTGAACTAGTTACGCATGCACGGCCTTTACGAACCCTCCACTTGGAAGGTTTCACCGAAACGACTCGCTGAATAACCGCTTTAACTTATATTTATACGACAGATCAAAACGACTCGTATACAACATATAAACTCATCTCATGCACGGACTCATTTGGAGCGTTCTACGATCGTTGAATTTAATGCTCCAGAGACCAATTACAGTTCGCGTGTTTCAAAGCGGGATCTTCTCCGTTCTTTACGCCATGTAAGGTCTTGCATTAATATGTGCAACCCACTTTCCTGACTGTATGTACACTGTATCTTCCGTATCATATTTGTATTCGGATAAACTAATTCTTATTAAATACTGCAATATTGCTCTCTTATTTAATGTCAAAGTAAACATTGAATCACCGTACAAATACGATTAGTCCAACGAAGCACACACCTACTGCATTACTTTATTCCTATTGATTATAATAGAACGATTGTTATCTTTATAATTGTATAATTTTTTTTGCCTACGAAGACGTGACTTCCTGAAGAAATTTGATAGTTACAATTTGTATGATAAAATGCTTACAGGTGTTTCATAGAGAACTTCCATAAGTCACTCGTTATGACACTGCAAGTATTTACTTTTGCAATTTCTTTTAGTGAAATTATTGTTATAAAAGAGATCATAGAAAGAGTATATATATTGGATGTAAGGCGATTTGATAGTTTAAAATATATTTTCCTAAGATCGTGATAGACCTACCTCTCGCCCAGCCGGTGAGTACGTTTCCGAGGTATGCCACTTTGTAGACGGGATCAGGCTCACTGATGCGGACGCTGTTCGTGCGGCGCAGCAGACGGCCCAGTCCTCGAGACAGCCGCCCTATAGCACGAGTCGTGAAGTCCTTCCCCGAGAGCCCGTCGGCCAGACACACCTCGGCCGGCAGAATAGACTTTCCTTGCGCATTCTCTTTATGGGCGATTAGTTTAGGTATCGTCCTAGGGTTGGACTTTTTCCTTTCGGCCGTCAACGTCTTCGCCTGGTTCACACTGTACACGTTGCAGTTCTTCTTAAAGTTCTGGCTGTCTTTGGTGTTGTCGACTTCTTCTGTCTTCGGAGGAGCGTCCCCGACGTCATCTTTTATGTTCGTGTTGAGGTTTTCACTGATAGAGTTATTGTTCAACGTATCACACTGTCCGTCGCTGTACCGACGCTCGCAACCCAGTCTCCTCTTGATGAGGGAGGGGTTCCTAAGGAGAATGCTAGTTTCACTGGAGCTCCTGTTTTTGAGTATGTGTATTTTCTTGACTCGTGACACCGCACAGTCCACTTCGTCAGCGCTGACCATCCTCTCCGTCTTTCCCTCCTCGTCCAAGAACCGCACCCTGAGTCCGTTAGTTTTGTTGTCGCTGATCGTTTTATCCGATTCTTGCAATCGTTCCGCCTGACTTTTCGCGCTTGCCTCCAAGCAATGACGCTCCTTTTCACTCAATGTACCGCGAGCCATTTTTCTTAAAACTGGCCTCTACGTTCAGGTTAAAATCTTTACATTATGAAGAGGCGCAGCGCGTTTCGACCGCACGATTAACACTTTCAAATAACGTCTCCTCTACTACCGAGAAATATAAACTAAAACCAGTCACCGGGGCCGAGTAAAGTAACAACACACACAGTCGTACACACTCCGTCCATTAAAGAGCGACACCCGGTCGGAATGCCGTTTCACTTCCGAGCACTCTTCAGTATAACAAAACGTTCACGGTTACTGCGAGATATAATAATTATTTGAGGCTTATTGTAAACACTATCGTATTGTTATTTCACAATGTATTCGTCGTGTGCGCGGCGGAAGCGTGCGCGCTGCTCGACTCGCGGCGGAGGTATGGTGCGCGGGCGACGCTACACACTACCTTAGTGTTGGGCCACGAGCCACCGGCCACCGGCCACCGGTCACCGGCTACACAGCAACCTGCCACAAAAAATAACTTTAACACGTGACGTCAGACTTGGTAATCGTGATCAAGCACATCGTTATCGGTTTTGTTGTAATAAAAACATTTACTAATTATAACTGACTGCAAAACAATTCAACATTTAAAAAAACATTTTCCAAAAATGTATTTTTATACAAAGAAAATTAAATTAAAAGTTCATGTAGCCTTTCATAATACGTCGAAAGAAAAACAGAATTTTTCTTCAATTTTAATTTAAAAGTAAATTTGCATTATAAATATACATATATGATGTAGTTACATAATTATACATATATTTATTAACATTACACGCTGTTAATTATCCACATTGGATATCACACACGTCACACTTTTTTTATATTTAACATATAAATATTGTATTGCTGGTAACTAAGTAGTATAATTCGTTAATTATATACTCATTATAGACCATAAAAATTTAATTAATTATATAATATATTTTTTATAGTCTCCCAATCTAAGCAGTGCGACTGTTTTTTTGTACCGTACTCAAATATATATAGGTATATTTAATTATTTCCATAGAACATTATTGAAATTATGCAAAGAGATTGTCGTTGTTTATTTCTATAAACTATAGGTACTTCTAAGTTATTTCAATTCAATTAACGAGGCATTAAACTGTCGTTGAATACATACTCTTACAGTCATAATAGTAATAGTTAAATGAATAATAATAGACATTATAAATAAACTAACCACTTTATTACCAATTTTTTTTTGTTCATAATTTTTTTATTAACTTAGTATAAAAAGTTGAAAACATACTTGGGAGTCAAATTTAATCTCACTGTTACATGTTTTTCAAAATATCAACAAAAAATATATACAAATAAATGTTACATGCTGAGTTTTTTCTAACAGATGCAAGTTAAATCATATGGTCAGTTAAAGACACTCAATAATATTAAAAATGTTTAAATTACAGAACAAATACTGTGACACTATTCAGTTAAAAGAGTTATGATAATTATATGAAACATGGTCTAACAAAACATAAAATCATTGGAAGATATCAAAACTGAAGAAATCAAGATGAATCCAAAATATCAAATTACATATAAATATTACGAAATTAATTTTAATTTATACATGGCCATATCAATAATCATATTAATAACTAATTATACATCCTAACCACGTTGCACACTCATAATACGTGCTAATATATTTTCATAAACGTATGAGTGTTAGTAGTGTGTTGTAGGTATGCAGTAGGTAACTGTCACGCGCCCCACTTGTGATGCTGAACGATACAACTGTTGTAGGTCGCTGAATTTACATAAACATTACAATATTGCAGAAAACATGTTACATATTGTACAGAGAAGTGACGACGCAGCTAACTTGAGCGATACATTTACTTTGTATAATATTAAAATTACTCAAAGTATTACATATGTACATTATAAGTGTACCACATATAAGGCGAAACCTCTCATCATTCAATGTATTCACCGTGCGGGTGCCGGGTCCATCGTTGCAGGGAGAGGAGCTTCAACAGTGACTGGGACTTGCGACCCAAGTGTAGGTTTAAGGGGCCTCTATCTAACACGCGTTAAACGCTATCCTCCACTGTCCAAGCTACTCTCAAATTTGAAAAGAACCTACTAGGGCTGCCTTCGAAGTACGTTCCAAGAACGAATTAATGTTAGTTCTGGACAGGTATAGGTATATGTTAGATACCATTTCCCGTAATAGATGATAGAATATAATTTTATTGCTTTTTCATTCATTGAGAACACGTTATAAAAACCTTATTTATTATAAGTTACTATTATCGTGCACTAACAATAACAGTTATTTATTACTCTGGTCACGTTTATTTCTAACCAACTAATTCACGCGACTTCTTCTATTTAACAAAGTAAATAACATATGAGAAAGAAAACTTAAGTCTAAGTAATCACGCAGTGTTTATAATCTCACTCCATATTAAAATAGTACATGACAATATATTCTCTTTAATGTCCAAGAGTCTCATATATACAATCTAGAACATTTAACTTAAATCTACCTAATTGTCTTAGCTTGATATACGCGAAACTTCAAATTTCTATTATTTCAATAATAAAATATGTTGCTTAAGTTATGTTCTTCATGTCCTGATCAAATATACATCTTTTATAAGGGCACCTTATCTATTTGCTATTAAAATGTTGTGTTCTACTTGTAAATTATATACCTAAAACTAGTTTTTGTCCGCGGTTTCATCCGCCTTATTTCGGAATAAAAAATATATACAATTAACCTGACCGGGCGAACTCTATACAGCCCGAAACGCCATAAGGATATTGGAATGTATTAAGTTTTTCTTTCTCGAACTAACGGACCTAAATATCTTATGTCCGTCTCCCGGGCCTAGGCTATTTCTCCACCAAATTTCAACCATATCCCTACATCCGTCCTTAAGTTATAAATAGTGCAACTAACACTACTTTATATATACATATTACAAATATTATATTTTCAATAATATATATGTTGTTATCATAAGAAAGATTATTATGCGACCTGTAGTATATGTAACGTGTATAAGGATATGTCAAATATGTCACAACATCTCTATATGGCCTTCCATCTTAGATACGCGAGATAGAGAAAAATGTAGACCAGAACAATGTAAAGAACCTCATGACTCACTCACGGCTCTTAGACGCCTCTTTGTGTTTACATTATATCGATAATATAAATCAATAACTTTGTATCTGTTTATTTTGAAACGAATCCAATAAGAAAGTCGAAATTGTTACCTACGCGCTACGTATTAATAAATAAATGAACATCGCCGAGGCAAAATCGTTGTATGGATAAATATTATATAACGAGTGACGCTGCTGACTCCGCGGAACGAACACCAAGCGTGTGAACCAGAAGATTCTTGATACACACAAGCTATGGAATGGTATTGTCATCCTAACATCGGGACAATCATGTAGTATAGGTTTAGGTTATAAGTTATGTTAATATGAAATATATATATAATCTTAGAACATTGAAGCACTATCTCAATATGAAACCTGTCGTCATATGCTTGTTCAGAACTACTTCAAAGTAATTTGTTAACCAAAAATAAAAATATCAAAGAAATAGTTATATAATCCATAATGAGGCGTAAACCGCAGCTCATCTCCCGATGGTCAGTAAGGCGTTAAAAGCGCTAATCGTTGTTTCCACCTATTAATTCACAATCATATATAATTACATATAATTGATCTATTATCGCCACACGACACGTACATCGCGACTCTTCCCCATAGTGTGTACGGAACCTATCTTTACCATATCGTTAATGCACCGCTCACTCATTACGTCAAAAATTTCGTTCCAAATTCATTTCCTATCTCAATTTCCAAACCGTCGCTATCGACTTGTATCAGTATTATCTGAACGTATTCAGACCGCTACCAACATAACTGGGTCATAAATTATCAATCGGGTGAAATTTCGACTGAAATAATCATTAACATCAAAAAATAATGTGGCACAAAGCGGAACATATAGATAAAGACTTGGCAACAATACTGTGAGATAAGAGAATAATAACTTATAATATTGAAGAAGTTTGATTAAATATATACAGGGTAATGATTGTATGTTTCAATCGGTACATTATAAGGCGAGCGTCTCATCATCGATCAATATAGCACACGCGTGTCTGCGCCGGGACTTATCAGTTTAGATCTCCGAGCCAATACAAGCTGTGAGACACAGTACTCGTATGAACGGATGTGTTCGCCTGCGTCAATCAACACACAATAGTCACCTGGGACAGAACATGACCGTGTGGAACTAATGTCGACACACAGACTGACTCGTTTATATTGATTTATGAAGCAAGGCATGTTTACAACGACGACGGTACTACCGAAAAATACTACAAGAGTGAAAGAGTGACAGGAAGTATTATGTTAAATTTAATAAAGATATTATAAAATGTCCATAACAAATCTATCGAATGTGTAGTTTACATTTAGTAATTCATATTATTGAGAACAACAGTGGACTTTCGTGCGGACTTTTCTTTGTAACAGTACCCCAACTCCAAGTTGTACATGTAACAGTACCCTAACTCCAAGTTTTTTCGTTATACTACACACTGAGTGCCTCTAAGTTTTCTTTCATAAACATAATATACATGTTTATACTGTCACATAAGAAGAGTTATTGATAAAAACTGGAAACTCTCTGAACGTAGTGACAATTTAAACTTGTGATTAGTACTTAGGATGCAAATTTAATCTAGTTTAGGTGGCTAATAAAAGAACTTCTAAAAAAGATCTTTCGTGTATATTAGGTCACATTTGATATTTGTATTGAGATGTATCATGAAGCTGACAGTCCAAAGGTCATTGACTCATCAGTTACCGTGTCAATTGTAACTTGTAAGTGAGTGAGTGTCGACAGTTATTTATTGTTTTGTATCACAGTTAATGTAAAGCATCACACGCTATTAGAGCAGAGAAGACGATTTTCTACGAAACATAATTATATAAACGTGGCAATATGAGTACTCAGATTTTAAGTTAAAATTAATATGGCATGATCAATTTTTTATATAATATACGATTGGCTCGTTAAAAACTTAACAAATTTAAAATATTTTTAAACAAAATCAATTTTTAATTGGTATTTTTTTACATCACAAGTTTAACGACTTTGTTTTTTTCTTGTAACTCGGGAGTTCGCGTTTATTTTATCAGATATCTGTCAAATTAGCGCGTACCGAGAACTTTTCACACCGCGGTGAACAATGTAATGACGGGACGTGTGACATTCAACAATATGTTTAGATAATGATACGGGGAGATCACTTGGACACTGTTAACAAATCAATGTCTAAAGAAATGCTGTTTCTCTATGTGGCTGTAAGGAGCATGTTTAAGAAACTTCAAACCCTGAACTTCCCATCCAGTATTCTTGTATCAAAGTCTGTTCCCGACCCTCTCATCAGTTGTGTACAGTGTTATGTAACCCATATCCTGGTCATAATCAATTGAACACCTGCGATTCTTGATATTGTATTTTTTGTCGCAAAGGCTAAATCACACGTTTTAATTAAACTGAGTATTTTATTGTCTTCTATGACGCTTTCTCATAAATGGGTTAGTATAGACTATTTCCTATTACAAGAAATCAATTTGTTATGTTATGTTGTATGAATGTTATATATTGTATAATATTTAATACACAATCAATAAAACATCTATAAATTAAAATTAATAAATCTGACAATTATAACACGAAGAGTAAATCATGCGCAGAAACAAATGAAATAAAAAACAGTTATATAATCCCTTCGATAATTAATAGTAGTTATATAATATATATGTATGTTATTTACTATTATATATAGAAACAATATGTTATTATTCGTATGAATCATTATCCTCATAACAAAAGTGTACCGTCAACACTAGTGAGTAGTGACGAACAGACGCACGAGTGTATTCACAGCTTATAATAATACTATTATATGTATATATAAAACTTCCTTATAATAAAGAGTTGCTTAAAATAATATTTAGTTGTAAGTTTAATACAAATAAAATAAACATCTAATATAAACATGTTATTTACAATGGGTTTAATCCGTCCTGAGTTTCAGTCCGTCATATAGTTTTCTGTCACAAACAAACATATGATTCATTGTATAATATCTGTCTAGATGCCCCGAGGTTTAGTTTAGTTTAGTGATAACTACACTCGGTCATATACAAGACACGTGACTTGAATGTACACACACAGGAACTACTGTTTTCGTTTAAAAATATTATTACCCACTGACAGTTTTCTGTTTTATAATTCAAAAGGAAACAATATATTTGTTAATTCCTTATAATATTTGAATAATTTAAGACTATGTATTCGAGGACTTACTGGAGACCTTCACTCAGAACACATCACGTGAATTGTCATTACACCTACTGTTTATTTTGAAATCAATTTTAAAAATAACTGAAATGTTCTGGTTATCTTTGTGTGATACATCTTTTATAGATATAAGAAAAACTTTTTATTTAAATAAAACCAATATTATTCGGATTACTTCGCGTATTTTATTATTTTAAAACTATATTCTGCCGACGCGACGTTTCGGTTACTTTTCAGCAACCGTGATCACCGTTTTAAAATAATAAATACGGCGTCGTTATCCGAACAGTATTGGTTTCATTTAAATGAATACTCGCGAAAGTCTTAGATCTCATTACTTTTTTATTTTTTATATATAAAGTAAGTTTTGTAGATGTTCTACTGTCCGCAGTCAATGCCTGTCTCAAGAGTACGGATTAATCGTACATGTGATTGCATCCTGACTAGTGACGTCACTACACACTGGTGACGTCACTTCACGGAGTCTTCCCAAACCTTCCATAGAGGAATTGTGTATCGACAGAATACTAATTTAAACACGTCATGTTTCAATATCTGTCAACATACCTATATTATAATATACATAGTACACCGCTTTACATATGTATGTAGGTCTCATTACTCGTTATCTTTTATTCAATATAAACCCCTATATTCTATTTCGTTATAAATTACATGAATGACTAATAATATTACACAATTTTTCGCTCATTTCCATATCTTCCAGCTGGTTTCTATTCTTTCTGAATACATTTCGTCGTATCTCATCCTGACAATGATGTGTTAAATCTACGAGTACATTGTCTCCTGTCACGGGATACACGAAATTGTAAAATTTTTAGTAATATATTAAATATTATTGGATTGGTATATTTAGATTATTTAACTTTGAAAATTTTTCAACGTAAATGTAAATTAAACCAAATTATTTAAAAGTTATCGCAAGGCGCTTGTGGTTTGAACAAAATAAGACCTATTTTAACAAAACAAAAACGTTTAAATGATCCAATAGTAGACCATCATTTTCAAAACAACTAATACACATTACGTATTGAGATATTTCAAGCAATATAAATTTTGTCGAAGTGAAGACTAACTACGACCATAATACGAGTATGATCTGTTTTTTATTTAGTATCGCAACTCTGAGTGCAAGTAAATTCAGTACGTTGCAGTACATTTCATAATAGTTATGTATCACGAGCCGGGCTATTAACTAATCAGTTCAAATGGAATTTATGGTAATTGGAAACGTTAATATTCAAATAAGTAGACTACTACTGCATTGGAAAAAAAAACAATTGTATGAATCTTTATAAGAATTATATCAAAAAATATGACTTTATTTGAGTGTTCTTCAAAGACTAAAGACATTTTAAGTTCAATGTTACAGTCACGTATAGTTATAATATAAACTGATAATACTATTATTATTTGAAGCGAATTTATCTCTTCTCTCATGACATTACTTTCTCGTAACTACACTTATCTGGAAATGCGTTTGATAAAGTTTAATTCAAATAAGACGTTTTAAGAGCAATTCGCCATACCTATTTAGTACAGTATAGACTATAGTTTAAATAATGTAATGGGAATATTTAAATCAATAAGACGATGTTCTTTTGAGATAAAATCAGTCAATTTAATATTTTTGTAATCCTTTTTAATCTAACCATGATTTTAAAATTAACATAATTACCGAGAATACATCTGTTTCTTACATCGCGACATAACATTTATTGTTATTCATTCAACTAAAACACCATTCTTTTGCATTTAAATAATGTATCTTTAAAACGATGACATATTCGGTTGCAGATTCATCAATTATGTCCGTCTTAAATCCTTCCTGTATAAAATCGAAATGACTGATGAAGTCACACTGTTCTACACGTCTTGTTATAAGTATAATTTTTGCTACTGAACAAGCCTCAATCAACTTTATATGAAGATAATATTTTCAGATTACAACTCGTTATTTTATTACTTTTAACTACATACTCCCGACGTTTCGATTACTTTGCAGCAACCGTCCGTCTCCACCAACTTTATTTTATTCGTATAGGTCATCAGTATTCAATATATACAATATACATCACACCTGTAAAGCCACATATTCCTGGTGTCGTGGTCGAGGCGTCTGTCCTCGGTAATAAGATCCTACAGGAAGTATCCTTCACTTGAACTCTAACCTGAAGCCGCACATCACTACTGGCAGTGTCTCAGTGACAAAATACATTGATAGAAGAAGAACGTATCAAAATCAGCCTATCAGAGATTACTGCCTAGCAAAGGCCTCTTAACAAAAGGAAAATATTTTAGCATTAATCACCACGCCTGCTCAAGACGGGTTGGCGATTTCAAACTTAAAATGTGAGATTAGAAGTTCAGGTTTCCGCAAGAAGTTTTCCGTCATCGTCTATCAGTGGTGTTTAAATACTCTTAGAAAGTACATGTAACTCGGAAAAATCAATTTGGTACTTGTCGGGTTTCGAACCCGCGCCCTCATGCACGAGAGGCGGGCCTTTGACGTCTAGGCCACCATGACTTTACTACGATACATTAAGAGAGCAACATATTACAATATTAATAAAATGTAAGGATCCCTGTATCATGGGTTCCGAGTTTGAATTATTAACAGCTATTAATTGAGCTTGTCAGAGGGAGGTCGTCTCTTTAATGAAAAAACAAATACTGAGATTGATTGTCTTATTTGGCGTCGTCAGTAACTCGGTCAGGGTCCGAGACTTGATATCTACCACATACAGTCAGCCTTCGATCAATATAATACTCGTACACAAGCTTCATCCTATAAAACAGCTGTATTAATATAAATTCTATGGAGTTCATAGTTAAAACTAGGTATATACAGCGATGTACCGAGCGATCCTCACAAATCACATCCACGTGGAATGGTTACAGGAATTCAAACCGCGCGTCTCGCGACACACACGAGACAGATTTTCTAGTGAATACTTTTCATCCAATATCTAAATATATACATTACTATTATATACACCTTTACAGCTGGAAATAAGCTTGAAAGATTCTGAAATACATATTCGTACACTATTAATTTGTTTGTAAGTAATACTTACAAATTAAGTTAATTAATTCGTACACTATTAATTAACTTAATTTGTAAGTATTACTTACAAATTAAGTTTTTAAATAACGAGATCCAAGATTTTCGCGAGTACCTAATCATTTAAATGAAACTAATATTTTCGGATTTACTACGCGTTCTTAATTTATGACTATAAACTACATACTCGACGTTTCGGTTACTTTACAGCAACCGTGATCACGGGTAAAATATTAGTTTCATTTATGTTTTTAACAGAAGTCATTTTTTCTGAATATTCCATCAAAATACTTTAACATAACTTCATTAATATTTCCATCACGACGGACAGTCGCTCGTTACCATTATCATTATTTTGTGTTATCATTATCAAATAACTATGTACAAGACGGCCCGGTGTTACTCTCACAATAACACTTATTTAAGTACAGATAATATTAAGTTAAACTTCTGTTTGTACCAAATAGAGACACAATAACATGAGTTCATATATCTACAAACAACAAAAATCACACAATTTTTATTAAAAGATAAACATATTGAGTCACATCCATAATGTATTAGGACGGAAGATGGAAATTAAAGTTATTGAAGTGACTCACACTCTCACAAACAAGCCGGGTTTTAAAAGATTAGGATAAACCAGAAATAAAGTTACATAACAAACTTTTTGAAAGTAAACAAGATAAAAAAGACGATCAAGTGTATGAAGACACAACACGATATATATACATGTATGGATATTTTATATCAGATGATTTAAAATATATAAATCCTAATTCCTACTATTATAAATACGAGTATTTGTGTTGGTGACGACCCTGTTGTTTGCTACCCTTTGAAGGTAACGTTATCGAATAAATTCTCATGAAACTCTCAAATAATATAACTTAGATTTCACAATATAATATAGATTATACTCGTAATTTAATAAAAAAACTTCTTAAGGTCGCCTGAGAGAGAAGCCATGAAATATATTTTTTGTAAAAAGTCACGTTTCCGATTTATTAAGTAAATACAATTAATTTCTCTGTGAACCTAATTCAGAACTTCAGAATTCCCGGCGAATGAAGTAGAGGACATACATATATTAGTCTTTACAATTTTGTACTTCATGTTGAACATTCTTACATAGTACGTATTACTTAAAAGTATTAATATTTATAATCAACCCAAATCTCAATATTTTATATTTGTTAAGAACAAAGTACTAAAAAGTTAAAGATCACCAGATCCTTATATTAAAACAATCATAAAACAAATTTAAATCATATTAAACAAATGTTTACGTTAAAAGTACATTACTAGGATCTTATTTTGGAATAAATAACTTATATAATTCTTTTTATATGTCTCAGATACTATTAATTATATTTCAGGTTGGTTCGGTCATTAAGTGTCGGAAGCCAAACCCAAAACACTAATGTACTAATGTATCTTTTTTTGCCATAAATCTTGTTATTGTTGATTACATATCATTAATATGAATATTCTAGATGTTTTGATTTTTGTAATGATAATAAAAACATGTTAATTTTATTTTAATGGGAACTAAATTCTCTAATATGTACCATTTCGTCAACATAACTTCGTACGTGTTTCGTTTAAATAATGATTTGCCTGGTTCTTATACTGTTGCTAACATCTATAATCTTGTGATAAATAGAAGAAAAAATATATTATTCAAATGATTTATCTATAAACATCCTTAGTGATTGTTGATTGAATTCAAAAGATTCATTTGTATATTTTGTATCGTTTTAAGTAATTACATTTTCAATACAATTGGCTTATTACAAGCTGTTCTTTCTGTTTAGTTACCTCTATAATATTCGTCCTAACCTACTATCCTTTACCTTAATGTATGAATATTTTGTTTCTTCGGAATACTGCTAAATATATACTTGTATTTAAATATACTACTTTTTTATAAAGTCTAGTTATGTGATGGAATTATCGAATATCTGAGGGAAAAACAATCAAAATTCCCAAGCCGTTGCGGCATCCGAATAGTTCTGCTGAATATTCGGTAGTCGTCAATAATCCTTACCTCAAATATATTAGTTACAAGTCTCACAGAAAATTAAAAAAATATCAACTTAAACTTCTCAACACTTATTAATTAATTATTACATAACATATGAAAGAATTAATGAACTGTTGAAGTTTTTATATGTGATCATTAATTATACTTTTGACTTATGTCAAGTATTAAAATATATTAACAAAAGATTTGTCATTTTCTTCAGTATGTGTTTCTAGAACATTCTCAGAATCATCATTAGAGAATACTGATTGAAATAACTACAAACATACACGACAACATATTGACTCCGTCTGCATATGTATGTGTTTCAGAAGGAATTATTTGAGATCGGATGTGACAGAGAGATTCGAGATTTCATATGAATATGTTA